GCATCGCATCACTGACGCTTTTCATAGAATGTATACGAAGAAACGAGATAATCAATACTTTAATAGAAAATAATTTAAAACTGTATAGAATTTGTATAAAAAAACTTTTTAAATTAGGCAATTTATTGTGTATTAAAAATATTTACATACTTATTAGTTAAACGGTCTACTTATTGATCGATACAGGAATATTTGGATAATGTGTAATAGTTCTCCCCATTAAACCGTTTATTACTCGGTATAATCACGCAATATTTCCTTTTCGCTGATATAATCACCTATTTATATCTTCACAAATTGTGATTCATAATGGTAAATTTAATTTAGAGTACTATTTTTTATAAAAGTTGTAATTAAAGAAAAATATTGATTGATTTTTGATGTTTAATCGTCATCTAATCTGTTTTTTGTAAAAAAAACTATCATGTTGTGTGATAAAGATTTAGTTCTCATCATAAATCAAATCACATAAATAACTTATACATATGACGTGTGGTATTTATTTGTAATTATAAACGTTAGCAGTGCTTTAAGGTTAAATCGTTCGTAAAAATGAACGATAGGAAACATAAATAACGTTTTTGAAGAAGTTTTGGATCATTTTTAAATCATCAAGTATAACACTTTCGTTAAGTCAAAGTTGACAGAATGATGCATTTCCCGTGCATGCACGATTGGTACAGCATGCTATTAATAGATAATGGTTAACTTTAGCACGTATATTAAACGGTTTTCATGCGATAGGCAGACTACCATTGGATTTCGTTCATTTACTTAGGTTTAAAAAATAACATTACGTGACATGACTCACGGATCACGGCATTTTTCGTGCTCGGTTGCTATACATTTCCAACGAGACATGACATTCTGTATTGTTTAATCCACCCAATGTACACATTCTATATAATGGAATTTAAATTTTAGTTATTGGTGGTTACATAAACATCTTGACAAGATACTTGTTTTTTGATTTTACGATTTTTCTTATTTATGAATGGATTCAGTAATATTTGAAGTAGTCCTGTAATCTTTTAATTTTTTAAATTTAGGAAGTGGTTAACTACTAAAGCAGTACTACTCTAGAGATAAGAAATACATAACAATGTTTCAAAAGAATACAATTTGTACACCAAAGAAAGTATATTGTTAAAGTCCGTCCATTGTATGCACGTCAAAAGCAAATTTTACACGATCTTTTCAGACACCAACCCCAAAATATACACAATAACTACTTATAGCCTTTAACATTTTTATAACACCATCCACCTTTTTGAGTATACGCTGAAAAAGTGTCGAGTTTCGTTGCTGTCAGTGAAAAGAAATGGGTCGGTAAATATTTAGTAGTGTCCCTGGACGGTTTTAGCCGGGCAAAGACGCCAAGGAAATAGAAACGAAAAAGGGAAACATACAAGCTAAGAACAAAACCGCCCTTTCAACGATAAATCTACTTACGTTTCTTTCTATATAGGAAAACAAGTGAGAAATGTTCCCAGTTGGGTGAACATGCAAGTGTGCAAGAAATCCTACTTTTCTTCTCTTTGAAAACGGTTATTAACTTAGAAAGAATAGATGCGAGATAAGATAATTAATTCAATACAGTGGATGTGAAAATATACGCGTGCTTCCACAATATTTAATTAAGTTTTAATTGTATTTTTTATTTCATTAATAAATAATAAACATAAATTATTTAGTTTTATAAATATCTCGAAAACGCTTTCGATCGTGATACTTCGATTCAAACCCATGCAAATCTTCTTTAATCATTTACGAAGATAATTGATAATAGTTTGATATAAGTACCTATTATTATGTTCTTATTGATTATAAAATAGATATCTATTTTCTACGAAATGAAGAAAATCCCTGTATTGCTTTAATAGCAAGTTATTAAAACAATTACCAGAAAAAAAAATTTACATTCAAGTAATCCATTGTTTCATTTTTTATAGAGGTAATAAACGATTACTATTGCGCATTTAAAATTTATTTCATGGAATCATTTTAGGCTCCTTGTTTTACTACCCTGTTCTATGTAGAGAAATGGAATGAGTTTAAATAATAATTAAAACTTTAAAACATTATGATGGCGTATAATAATAAAAATTAATATAAACATAAAGTACATGATACAATTTTCTACTACTTCTTGTGACCAGAGATTCTAAATATTCTTTACTAAAATTAATTTTATATAGAATATATACCAATCAACTTTCTGATTCGTAAAACATCAACATTATAAAAGCCATCAAATATTATCATTAAAGGATGATGCAAAATTTTTCTATAACAAGCATCTCTAAATTATATTTCCTATTATGATCCATGCTTTAATATTTCCTGAACATCTTTAAGCAATTTCCGTGGAACATGGCTATCATCCACCCCTAATAAATGATCAAAGCCATGGTATTTGTGCTAAAGTATGTGGATAGTATGCTGTTTCTAGGTTACGTGAAGTTTATGCGTGGTACAATGTGTGCTGCATTAAACAGTTGGTGATGGAGATGAAGAAATTGTTTGTTGAGAAGATTTTGATGCCATAAAAAAAAGATGATAAAGGGCTCATTTGCTTCGTAGAGACCTTATTATCCATTACGGACTTGGTGCATAAATAATTTTAGCAACTATATCACAATAGGTGTATTACAGCGTTGTCGGTCTTGCCATATAAGTTTGTGCATGGGTAATCTCAGGCATAATGAACGATAGTTTGGAAAGAAAAGTTGGAAGGAGATTAGATAAAACGAAACGACGAGAGAACAAGAAGGGTGGAACAGCCGATGTGTTATGGATTTTTTAAACTGAAAGTGTTGAGTAAGCTACAGTATTTCAGACATAATTTAAGGCGGTAAGTATGGATCGGGAATGAATTAATAAGCATGCGGAATTTGTGTGGATATAATCTCGAACACTCCTCAAATCAGTACCTTCCCCACTCAAATCAATAGCCATCAATAATCTGGTTAAGTACGACACCTAAACCATATCACTAGCAACAGTTTGAATCACGGATTTCGTACTAAAATCTGGGCAAATAGATATAAACCTGAAAATTAAACATTTCTTAATCTTATCCCAAGTAGTCACAACCCTAGGATTGTTGTGTTGAATTTTTCAAGTTTTCAAATCAGTATAACTCTGGTTCTCTATTATAATATATACATGTAAGAAAGATACTATATAGAGAAAAAAAAAGGTTGAGAAAGAGGTAGGTAATAGGAGAAAGAGGTTGGCAATAGAAAAAAAGGACTGATCAGACATTGGAAAGACAAAAAATAGGTTAGACAGAAAGAAGGATGACTGCCAACAAACTATAAAGGCGAAGGGAAGAAGTATACATGAAAGAGAAAGACTGAAAAGAAACTGGCAATGGAAGAAAACGGTTTAACGGAGACTGAAGAGACAAAAATGAAATTGATAATAAAAGAATTATTCCAAATTTAGAGTTTTGTTTAATTTGTATTTTCTCATCGTCAACTAAAACTGGACAGAGGAAAACAGGATATGGATAGGAAAGAAAAGTTTGGTGGGAACACAAGATGGAACTATAGGAAACTAACACTTTCAGAGCATCACGATTGCATGATTTTTTTATCAACTCTACATTTAAATTATCTTTTTTGTATTTTCCCTTCTTATTTCTGACAATTAGAATTAGAATAACAATAATAGATGTATATGCATTGTGGTTCATACTATAACCAACACTATTTATACAGAGATATCCAATCAATTTTTAGAGTGAAAATGGTGAAATTGTGGTGTTGGTAAGTACATTCTGAGAAAACCCCACTGCGTAATTCATCGTAAAACCGCGGTTTTATCACACATCTTATTAAACGAATTTATCTATATTTTTAGCCATCTATATCTAAGCCTCTATCATATCATTGATCATTTGGGTGTAAATAGGGCATGTATTCATATCAGTTTTTACTACACTATCCTTATAAAAACGATTTTATTGATTTTTGGATTGCAAGATGATCGATAGTAATGTGACCCCAATCTTGAAAAGTAATTTGAAACCTTTTTAAAGAATTCACTGTTTAAACTCTTACAATTACTCGTTATCAAATACCACTTTTCTCCTCGGTTTCAGTTTCGTCACAAAGTGATTTATTTTTAACTCAATGTTGCGCTAACCAATTCCGATAGATATAATGTGCATAGAAATTGTTATAATGCTTTTTGGAAATCCTGAAAAAAATTGTGTGGTTAAAATGCAAAGTAATTTTTCTCGCCTATTTTCTGCTTATAGGAGAGCTTGTAGAGCTCTATTTAAAAGAGGAGTCCATTCCTCTTTTACATTTGTCGTCTTTTCCTTCTATTTCTTATTTATATGCAAAACAAAATTTCTCATTAATTTTTTTTATTATTTTTGCTTTGATTTTTCAAAATCTTTACTCTTTGTGCTCTAGCATGCCCCAAAGATCTTAATATTTACGACCTTATACCACATAAATTGAGTAGGAAGCTATTTTGTTATCTGTTTTCTTCGGATCTTTTTATGTGTTTGAAGTTGGAGTAGGTAATAACATAGTACTACTAGATTGATTTAGGAGGTTATATAAATGTTGTGATTATGAAGAGGACCTCAAGAGATGAAAAGGAACGAAATGGATTTTCCGAAAGATATTATAACTTAAAACTACTCCGTATGACAAAATGTAGGTATTTTACTACTTTTTTGATATGACAATAACAAATACTTACCTTTTGCGCAGTAGAATCGGTGAAAAAACAACTTTCTAAATTCGAAGTTAAAGTAACAAAAAGTTTATGCCAGAACAAGATAAAACGAAAACAAAATATTTTGCGTTCATATGACCGTTTAGGAAAGTTATCGCGTAACATGTTTATCTTGTTTCACATAAATCCAAAATATAGTTTTTTAAACTTTTCTTAATCATTCATTTCGTTACGGTTAGTTTACGGTTGTTTTTGTAGTTACTTTGATTGGGTAAGAAAAATATGTAAAAAAAACAATAAGATATTTTTATAAATCGATTTATTGGCCAGGTAATGTAAACAGCAAAACTACATGTACAAAAAAATGTACAGTATATATAAGAATACAACTGTAATATAATAGTATGAATATAATATGTAAGGATTTACAAAAACAAAGTAGAGAAATAAAAAAGCAAATGTATTGCTAGTTACCGTTCCTTTCTCTGTACACATTTCCGTCATTTGAATTTAATTATTAATTCGATATCCGCCAGAACAAACGTGTATAGCCAACTATGATTATTTTTATTGCGACGAATTGTATTCTTGCATTTTGCATCCTCGACGGGTCTTTTGTTTTTTACATTACACCACAATAGTCAATATGATGATAATAATAATAGTCGTAATAATAATAATAGTAGTATACAATATAACAAAAACAATTTTTTTATACAATGAGCTTTACAATATTATGTACAATTGGGGCGCCGTGAAGAGGTGAAAGTTGAGCCTTTAAGAATCACGCCTGGCCGACCGGTCCATATACAATATACAGGGAGGACAACAACTATACGAAAATTTACACCTTTATACATTACGGTCCTAAGCAGTCGATTATGGAGGGGGTAATTACCAGGCGAAGGACTCAACTTTCAACGTCCAGGCAAACAATTTTTTTTTTCACCACATTTTTCGCTTTTTCCTTTTTGGGGGGTACAAAAATACACCAAATATGTCTATAACTCTACATTCATAATAATATTATTTTCACATTTCATACTGTATCAGGCCTCATAAAATTTTCAAAGTCGAAAACTGGTATTTATAATCGTATATATATCATATAGTAATAATAATAATATATAATTGCGGACAGTCCGATTTCTAATAATAATATATCATCATTATTATTATTATTATTATTAATTTTTTACTTTCATCAAAAAACGTTTATATTCTAACACATTGAAAGCACACATTTTTATTAATTTTTTGTATTAATTAATCTTTTTGTATAATTAATTTTTTAAACGCTATGTTTTCGAATAACATTCGTTTTTTTATTCTCTCTTTTTTTTTAATACAAGAATATCGATGTTGTATAGGACTAAGACTAACGTTTTTATTTTCTGCGGCTTCGTTTAATTTGTTATTTGTGCATTGACTTTTCTTGTTTCGAAAAACAAACGGCACACATCCTTATTTAATAGTAATATGTACAATCGACGTTAAAATGCCCAATTGAACGTAAAAGAAAATCTTTAAGTACCTCTTGTCTTACTATAAAATTAATAGATAATAGAGAAAAAAAAACTTAACGTACAGACTGACTAATGTCGAATTAACTTAAAAAAGGGTCCGACCATTTTATTTCATTAATTGTGGATGGATTTTTAGAATTATAAACTTTTTATTATATATTTTTTTTTTATTTTCTCATCCCGGACGAAAACAAATCGATATTGCTGTTGTTTAAATGTTTTCATTATCGCGTGATGGGCGTTCAGCTCGTTTGTTGTGGTGTCGGTGGTGTATGCATATGTGTTTGTGTGTATTATGTATGTGTGTGTTGTGAAACGAAAAGTAATTTCTTTTTTTGGTCATCGTCGAAAAGTTGATGAAATCACAGCCAGATTGTTTACTTACCCCAATTCGGAAACGGACGAGTAGTGGGGCAAAATTTTAATTTTTCCCTTTAAATTGTTTTCTCTTTTTGTTTTGTTTGTTTATCTCCTAGGCACTAAGAAACTGGTTGTATCCGGGACTCTCGACTAATAGTATAATATCCAACGTTATTTTTTTTCGCTTCTATTCATCCGTATAAAAAAATCTCCGTCTCGTTAACTATACACATATTTACGTACAAAATAAAACAAAAAACAAATGAGATCCTTTGAAGATACTTTTTTATCGTTAAGAACTATATGTATATATTTATATGAAATATCTTAAAGTTAATAAAAAGTTGAATATATTAACGACCGTCGCGTGTGGAAATAAAGGAAAAATCAGTCTTTAATGGATCTCGACAAGTCCGTGGATCAATTAGAGAACAGTTCCCTATCACTCCACACAGTTCCCGGTTCTCCAAAGGTCAAAAACTCAAAATTAAGGTGGGAATGGGGGATCTTGGTGAGGTCCAGGTCGTCCATGAGGAGGTCTGTGATGGAGTCCAGCTCCTCGAGCGGCGTCACCTCCTCCCTGAGGTATGACGTACATTGCATCGGATCCGTCGACGTGTCAATTAGGAAATCTTCGTTATAGAACGACGCACTTTCTGGCGAATCCGGAGTCTCGCAGGAAGGACTAGAGGGCACTTTCGCCACGTTAAAGCTCGGCTGTGCCATTGAAGCCGCCATGGTAACACTTGAGACGCTCGGAAGCTTTTGAGGTTGTTGCTGTGTTAACCTACTCTTCAACTTCGAATTCACGTCACTACTATTACTATTGCGTCTGACTGTTGTGCACCTCATTTCCGAGTTGTTATTTGTGTCATTTTTCGATGAGGATTTTGAGTTCTTTCTAGGTCTTTTTCCAATACCACCAGATTTCGATGCTGGTTTCGTCGTCTTTTTTCTCGGACGATATTTGTAGTCCGGGTATTCTCTTTGGTGAAGCTGACGAAGTCTGTCCGCTTCCTGTATGAACGGGAGGCGCTCTTCGTCTGTCAGAAGCTTCCAACGCTTCCCTAGTCTTTTGGAAATTTCTGCGTTGTGCATGTCGGGTTGTACTTCGCAGATCTTTCTTCTTTCCATTTGTGACCAAACCATAAACGCGTTCATCGGCCTTTTAATGTGGTTTGGGTTGTTCTTCTTAGTCTGTAACAACAGAAAAATTAAATAACCTTGGGAAATTTTATCGTGATCGGGTTTCGCTCTGATAGCGACTCTAAATATAGATATGAGACATTCAGTCTGCGCTGTGTAAGCGATAAAGTGATGTTTGATATTAATCCACCCACAACGTACTTTAAATCATTAAAACACACCTTAGTTGTTATGATTATGATAAAATGGTGAAGAAAGAAGGTTAAGTTTTTGCCTTCAAGATCCTTTTTAGTTAAAGAGATGTAGAAAGAGACTACTGATTAAGATTTGAATTGAAATTGAACATATTACTAAACGTGAGTTAAATTGGTTTCCGCGTCACGTTCGTTATCGGTAAAGGACATCGACCATATTCGGTTCGAAATGACCTTGCTATCAAATAATGACAGGTAAAGACCAGGAACCGATGTACGTATCGACTTTTAATAGTAATGGTTAAGGAAAAGGTTGATAAACTCTCGGTTTCGTGACGTTCGCGACCTTGAATTTTTCGCAATGCAAAGTCTGTTGCAGCAGTGGGGATATATCTCCGGAGGCGATCAATCTCCGTCACAATTTTCTCCTGAACGAAAGACGAGGAGAAGGAGGAGATGAAGGAATAGAGGAGATGTAGTGGAGGAGGAGGCGCCGTGAAAGAGAAAGAAGAAGACTCATAATAGGGTACGAGATGGGCTCGGAAACTGGTTCCACAATAAATCAAGTGAGCCGCAGTGGAACCGCTCCGTAACCCGATAGGCGGGTCATATGGTTCAGGGTCTATGGTACCCACTAGAACACCACTGTTGTAATTCCACACGAAATCAGCTTTCTTTAGATTTTATCTCCCGTATTGACTAATCGAGGTAATTGACTTGAGAAAAAAACCTCATTACTTAATCTATTCGAATTAACACACGTGTGCCCATTAAAAACTTTTACACATATATTTAACAAACAAAATTTAATAATCCTTAAGAATTTACGAAAACTACACGCGACTAACATTCAAAGTGTTTGTTTTTGAATCACCAAGTGCCACGTTAAATTGCTTCACGTGCGGTTGTTTTTCAATAAAAATTTGTTTTTACTCTTGATCGAAAATACTACGACTTACTTACATTTTCATACTACTGGTACTATTTATTTTTTCGTTCAACGTCATATCTTAGTTTTTTATAAACACGCAGTTTTCGTTAATCTTCTTCTATTTTTAAATTAACAACGATAAGGAACTTGTATAAACTATCCTTGAGCGTGTTTATTTCCGCATTATAACATTTATCAAAAATTTGTAACAAATCGAGAAATTTGTCATCCTGTTACAGCCACGTTCAAAATAAATACATTGAAATTTATCTATTATTCACCACTATAACGTTTGTTTTCTGTTACAAAATTATTTAAAATTTTATAGTTCATAAAAATTGTATGAAACATTATTTTTCGAATAACATAAAACTTTTTTATATCTAATTTAAAAATTTAAGTGTTAAAAGATTAAATAGAAAATTGTAAAATTTCTTATAAATTGAATTTTTAAATGACGAAAAATTAACAGCATTAAAATTATGTCTAATTAATTTGTTTTTTTTTACGTTGAGAATTTGTTACATCACTTGAGTGGTGTTATTTTGATATTTACGTTATAAATTAGATTTAATTTTTTCTTTTCGCCTCGAAACGCGTTTTAATTCGATTAAATTAAGTTCCATTTTGTTTTGTTTTTAATGATTTTTTTGAAATTACCACTAAGATCTTTTTTTATAATTCTTAATAAAATCTAAGTAAACGTCTAAATTTTTAATTTCCACAGCAAAAGTGCAGCCAGTCGTAAAACAAGATGTATAAACCACAAGAATTGCGAAAACTAAATTAGTTGTTTCACTTCTGGATTTCGTAAAAGTCGCGTTGGGCAACGCGGTTAACTCTTCCGGTTAGTTTAGTTGATTTTTCGCGATTTTCACCGGCAATAGACCGTTAGAAGCTGATGAGTAAGCTGTTAAGACCTTGAATTTCATTTTCAGCAGCTGATTGCTGTCATTCGTCTTTAATAATAATTTAATCACTCAAGGATCACTTAATTTTAATTATCACTTCTATTTCATTTTATAGACCTCACTTGTTTAAGCTTTTGCTTACGCATTTGTTTTTTTTTTCAGTGTTTAATGTGGGGTGGTGGGTGGGTTGAATTTTTTTTCTTAAATAAATTCAACCTACCTGAGTAGCATCAGAGTAGGGTGTTGCTGAATTTTGGTCCACTAGTTGAGAACCGAAGATCGGTCCTCTACTGTTGGAAGAAGCTGTAGATGATGTACTACCAGCGATGGGGCTGTCTGAACGTTCAGACTCCATGCCCTGTTGCGGAACCATATTACTATTTTAAATTTTAATTAAAAAAATAAAATTATTAAAATCCGCACGGATCACTATTTTATAAATAATCGTTTTGGCTTTTCGGTTTCGATTTAATTCAGATGCAAACCGAAAATTCACAAACTAACGTCTATATATCGCGGTTGAAAAATTTTTCTAAGTTCAATTTTGAAGCAAACTGTGTTTGCTCTTAAACATTTTGCTTCTATCTCGCACGGCGCGTCGAGCAATACTAAACTCTCTCGTTGCGATACGTTAGATGTCTACAGCCGGGCTACAGCTGTTTCCCCCCACCATCCCCACCACGTGCGCGATGCCTGGTTCCAACTTGAAAATCTCTTCGCAATTCCTAAGTATCAAAACACAAACTTGGTTTCTTCGGGAAATTGAAAATTTTCGAAATTTTCCAAAATTTTTCATTTTCTCCACGAATCAAGCGATTTTAAAAATTTGCTTTTTTTCATTCCCAATTAAAAACCTCGCCTCCCAATTCATTTTCCAACGGAAAATATTGAAATCCAACCATTTTTGGCACAACTTTTATTTCAGTAAAAAATCATGGCGAAAAAAATAATTTTTAATTTTTTATGTATTCACGATCGGTTCTCGCAGAGATACTGGACTGAAATGATCCCCACCACTACACTGTTTTAGTTCAGTGTTCGACCTCGGTGATGGCAGCACCTGTTAGAGACTATCTCACACTCTATTCCGATGTTATTATATCGATTCAGATTACTATTTAATTTAATTAATGAAATTAATTAATATCTACATATATGCTATTTGTATAAACCCATTATTATCGACAATTATCTTTTAAACTGATCACTTATTTCGTGTGTTTATGGTGTTTATCCATTAAAAAAAAGTGGTCTACACTCAACTTTCTTGCATTTTTGACACTAATAACATTCACAAAAATCTGTTGACAAAATCTGTCTTGCGTATGCTGATGAGGTGGATATTATATCGAGATCAGTATTAAAGGAAAAGAGACGTGTCAACAAAGTAAAAACAAAGTTTATGGCAGTTACGGATAATTGGAAACCATAATTTTGAGGGTGTCGCAGTATTTCAGTATCTGGGAACATCAGTTATTGTAGATAATAATATGACCACAAAAATTAAGAAACGCATCTTATGTACGAACAAATGCTATTTCGGCAAGTCCAAGAACCTATGGAACAATAACGTTCCCTAAAGCATAAAGATCTGAATTTATAATACCCTTATAATACCCATTTTGGTATACAGTGTGTCCCCGGATTGTGTCCCCGTATGGTATAATTGACGATAAATTTTTGAATTCAAATTCCATCTTTTGTAATTAAAGTCTGGATGTCATAAAGCGAAATATAACCAAGTTTTACGTCAAATGTCCTCAAAGTACCAAAGTTAACGTAAGAAGTTTGTTAACCGTTGCAGGTAAAGTGGTCTTTCTGAGCAATGTACAACAAAAGTTGATTAAGATAAAATGTTTGTTATGTTAAATTATAACGATATGCCGAATTTTATTAATTTAGCATATAAAAGAAAAAATGAGTTTTTTCTTGAAAATTTTTTTTAATATTCCGTTTTACAATAAAGACAGAGAAATCTGAGTGAACTAACAATTAACATTTGATAGCTTAGCTTTAGCCTATTGTCAAATATTAATTGATCATGTTTACATTACAACATAAAATATTTATAGTGAAGTGCTATGGATTGGAATATTAGTTACAATGCAGTTTTAAGGCAATTTGAGGAAAAATTTGGATTTTTAGTAGTTAAAAAAAAACAATTAAGAGAGTTGTTAAAAAATTTTCGGAAACGGGCAATGTGGAAAATAAAAGGAAGGAAAAAAAGCTTTTAGATGTTGTTAGATACAAAGTTTTGAAAGACAGAACTTTTTTAAAAAACATAATATTTTCTGACGAAGTTCGTCACTAATAGAATGGTTACATCACGACATTGTCGTATTCCTGGTGTTTCGTGGGACGGTGTTATTGGACCTTACTTTATAAACGGCAATTTGAATCAACAACGATATTTGGAAGTACTAGAAAATTGTTTATTTAATTATGTTCACGGCGTGCTTTTAGAAAAACGCAATAAATTATATTTTATTATTATAGTTGCGGCCCACATTCGACCATTTTAATTAGAAATTATTTAAATACGTTATTTGGAAAAAAATGGATTGGTAGATATGGTCCGCAACCATGGCCGCCAAGAAGTCCGGATTTATCTATTATGGGTTTTTATTTAGGGTTATGTAAAACAAAAAATTGAAATTGTGATAAGAGAAATTCCGTTGGACCATATTAGAAAAAGTTATAAACAATATCGGAAAAGGGCTGAATTATGTGTTAGTGTTGGTGGTGGTATCATTGCATAAGCTTTTATGTTAATTTAGTTAAGATCGAAAATGTTTTATTAATCTTATGATTTAAAAATCTGCATTTTGCTTTTATATCCTAAATTAATAAAATTCGACATATCGCTATAATTTAACATAACAAACATTTTATCTTAATCAACTTTTGTTGTACATTGCACAGAAAGACCACTTCACCTGCAACGGTTAACAAACTTCTTGCGTTAACTTTGGTATTTTGAGGACATTTGACGTAAAACTTAGTTATATATCGTTTTATGACAACCAGACTTTAATTGCAAAACATGGATTTTGAATTCAAAAATTTATCGTCAATTATACCTTACGGGGACACACTGTATAGTTCCTTAGCGTGGATCCTAACAAAAAAAGATGAATCTATACTAGCCACATTCGAAGAAAAGTTACAATGTGGGGTACAACTTTGAACTATATAATGCCTATGGATCAAGTGGAAACATATATGACAACTATAAAGGTGGGCAGAGTGATTGAGATGGACAGGTCATGTGGTAAAAAGTAGCGACGATAACCAAGCAAAAAAGATATTTATGCAGAACCTGAAGGACTCCAAGAAGATGCAAGAAGGAGCAAGGAACAGGAAGGAATGGAAATTGATATGACTAATGATGATGATGACGAACCTAGACTAAACTCATATTTTTATATGACACTGATATACTGACAACATTTACAAAACATCCATCGATGATTATCAAATATTGAATTTAATAAACTGCGGCAATGTGAACATTACTTGGCTTAAACTTTTACGCAAAACACCCCCGGCTACAAATTTGATTGAAATTTACATAATTAAGTTAAATAAAGTTCAGAATGCAGTATAAAATCATAATCCATAATCATTTTTAACAAATCGCTCCGATGTGGCATGAATAATAATCGTGCCATGCTACTTATGTTATAAATTCGTTCTAGTACGATACGTTCTGCGGAAAAGTGATATGCAACATTTCTACCAACCTAGCACGATGACATAAGATGGTAACCACTTCCTTTAATGAATAATCGAAATTTTAAAATCAGTCAAAATCCTTCCATTGTGAAATTGATAGTGACTGCCACTTATAATATCAGGGGTATCAATGTATGTCACTTGGTTCTATATGGAATAACACTGACAGCAGCTTTCAACGGGGACATCCTGCTGAAACATGAGCAGCATGACCTCAGGGAAAGAAGCAATCTTCTGGCCAACAGCAATCTGTATAAAGCGGCAACTATAACTTTGAAGATGGGCCTAATTTTGCTTCCTTTATACATTACAGACATTTTCTCATGTAACTTTGAGTAAAAATACAAGAAACATTACTACCTATTACATTCACAAATATTGCACTAAATATAGAATTAGGTATAATTCATCCTTAAGGCTACAAGTTACAAAAAAAATTGTTGCAATATAGCATTTTTATGCAATACAGCTCTAATAGCCTCTTCTTACCAGACTGTAGCAGCAATTTCATCATCCGTTAAAAACTCCAAAGTTACCATATTCTCATCACACTGTTAGATTTATTTCGATATCAATACAATTTTTAGAAATAAACTTTGTAAATGGTGTGCTTCATCCAACATTTCTGCTTCATTATTGACATATATTAGACGGTTAGAGACGTTTCGGGATCTTCTGTCAACAACTTTGTTACTCTTAATCACAATGAACTTGACTGAATGAAGTTGACTGAAGATGGGAGTTGACCCCGAAACGTCTCTAACCGTTTGGTCTTTTTTAAACCTTTTATGTAACAACACCTCTAGTTTAATTTATCGTTTTATAGTATACTATGTTTTATGCCACTATCTTGTGGTCAATCGTATCTAATCTTGATATTTGAGGCACAATTTATATCCTGGAAGGATTATTTGGTATTTGGCTGCGGGGTAAAACATCTGGGGAGAATTACACCAGTTATTGAGACTTTGAAACTTACATGTGGCAATACGTCCCGATGAAATTGCCAGAAATTGCAATTTGTAGCAAGAGATGGCAAATTATAATTTGAACACCTCATAGCATTTGACGGTTTAGTTTATTCATGACTTGGAACAGTATTACTCTAGTTCATAACTGAATTACTATGTTCTAACAAATATTTTTAACTGGTTGACAACTCGCAAAATATTGCAAAATTCTCGAAGTATTTCAGTTGGAGAAATAAGTTTTACAAGTTGCAGGAGAATACTTCATTTCTTTTCAGGTGTGAGAACCTATAGATAGACGATTAAAGAAAAACAACGTTGTAACTAACTAAACTAGACCTAGAACTAGATATGTCGTATAAAGATACCCGAAAGAAAGTGAGAATACGGATAAGAAAAATCCGAGTAATCTCCATCCGAAGAGTAATGCTAAGCGGAGAATCACAAAAACGAGTGGAAGATTCGATGAAAGATTCACCATTCTATAACGAACGCGGTAATTAGCAAATAGTCATTAGCAATTAATTAATTAATAATTACTTCCTTATGTATATTTTGCGAACTTTCTATTGATCCTGTCTCTAACTACATCACTACAGTTTAAGAAGGTTGCAACATTGCATCCGAAACGTTTAAAACTATTTTTATAGACTCACTGCAAAACTTTCAAGTTTCTAGTTTTATTATGTAATTACACAAAATGTCCACTATTTCTATCTATAAAAACATCAAAAATGGAGATCACCTAATACTTTGATAACAATTGCGTTTATTTAATTATAAATCTCTAAATATATGGTTGTGATTAATTTTTTTTAATCTCCGAATTGAAACGAGATTTTCTAAATTGGATTTCACCATGATAAAATAGATAAACATCTCTATATATCCTAAAAAAATCATAATAATTCGAAGAAATG